GTGGATGGCTTATTATGGCATGTGTAGTGGTAAAAATCCCAAGTGGCCCAAGTGATAAACGAGGCCCACTAATGGCTACTTAACAAATTCACCACCTCGACCCAACTCGTAAATTCCAACCGACCAGAACCATGATCCAAGACTTGAGTCAATTCGAAACCTTAGATATTCTATCTTCAAGCAGTCAGGATATACCACGCTATGATCTGACCAAGTCAAGTGAGAGTTATCTATAAAAGATATGGATAATCAACCGAATAGATCATGTCAAATTTAGCTCTAACTAACCACAAAATCTCAAAGAATCATCGCTAATCCCGTCTAGACAGTTATCTCACTCCTATAAATTTCATGGTCAATCAAACATCCAAGTATCCTCATCTTCTATGAACTATTATTTCTTACTTTCCATCTAGCACTCATACAACTCTCAACTAGCTTTACTAATTTGACCGTCAACGGGTCTTCGGCCGGCAACAAACTCGTGTCCCCTAAAGATCTTAAAAGGTCATTCTTTCTTGTACCTTTTTCTTTTTTGAGTTCCATAGAATTGCTAGTAGCCCGATCAATTTGATTTCTTCAATTGTAGAATTTACCGTCTACAATATGTAACTGCTTCTTCTCTTACCTATCTCAAATTGCAAATTTGTGAGGGAGTAATAGTTAGTATCCATCTTAAAGATTCTTGAACAAGAAAATAGCTTGCAAGATAGACAAACATAACTTGAAAACTTTAATTTTTTCTTAGAAAATATTTGTACTTTAGAATTTTTTTTTAAATAATTTTTCAAGTCATGACCCACTGATTAGACTAGTAACTCATCATTTAAACCGGTGATCCGGTAGCTCAATTGTCTTGATCGGATTAAGGTCCAAGCCAAATCTCATAACTATAGTCACTATAATTACACCTTGTACTTACCCACAATCCGTAATTGTATTATTCACAATATTCTCTACAAACTAGGCACGTTATCTTCAATTTTAAACTTTTTGTCATCTTTTCTTCAATTCTTTATTAAGTCAAGCGTATAAATTTACTATAAATGACATAAACAAAATACACGACACTACATTTTTTTTATTCTATTGTAGCATACTAATGTTGGGAATTAACTTAACATGTACAACGAAATTTAAACAATATTTTAATTCTCACAAAAGATCTTCGTGTTTTTAAAAAATAGTGATAGGAATTATACCCAACTCCTTTACTTATCTTAAACATGAACAATCACAATCTGCAATTCACACTTGTCTAATTATTCAACCTCCGATGAAAATTCACACAGGAAACAAGAATGAGAGAATTATGGTTTCTCTTTTCTTGTGCTGCAAGATAATGAATTGTCTTGTTTGTTTCTCAAATACTAATAGTTTATTAATAGAAGTCCAAGTGAGTTTAGCTCGGCACTTAAACTTAATACAGTCCAATATTAATTAAACATGGTCTATTAATTAATTAATCTGATTAATTAATTTATCCCATTAATAAGTAACACAATTAATTAATTGTCTAATAATTGTCAATTAATTAGTTAGTATATTTCATTCTTCTAGTTCTCCTTTTGTGCGTGATCCATTAAATTCTCAATCACGATATCTAACGACGCAAATTATTATTTTTGATCTAACCAAAATAAGATAAATTAAAACACCATTTTAATTTATCACTAATTCACATAGATTAATTAATTCACATTCATCATCCCAAATTGACATATAACTATATGTCAGGCAACACATGTGATTGAAAATGTCACGTGGTATAACAAAATCAATTTTTTTTTTTTACCGTAAAATTACAATACATTCATCAATATGATTCGATCGATTACGAAATATGAAGTTTGTCAATCTTGATTATCAATTATATCTTTTATCCAACTATTAAGTCATGATAAATTAAAAACTCCTTTCAACTTATGAGTGTAACTTGCCCGACGATTTCGTTATCAACTTAATTGAATGATATGTAGATCATAATTTATTACTTTCTAAGAGTGATGAATCATGTATTAATCATTCACAATTTTTATATGATTGTTGACGTACCCGAATGATGTCGTATTAGCAACTCTTGACAGAGTAACTTTGAACATCATCAAAGTATGACCATCCCCATATAAGACACTATAATGACCTATAGTCAAATAATCAATTACACTACCGAACATTAGAAATTAATCACTGACATTCAAATAGTTATCCATGTAGAATCTGTCCAACCGATCTCCAATGCTTTGTTCTTAACAAAATATTCACGCATTCATTTAAGTGTCCCTACACTTTAATTTGTGAGATTAACTACTACTTCACAAGTAAAAAATGTCAAGTGTTGACTTGAGGTAAATGTTTGATAAAAGAATGATAAAGATGTAATAAATATTCATTTGAAAGTTTGGAACTTGAGACGAAAAAATGTAAGGTTTGGACGGATGCATTGAGCCTCAACTTTTTATCAAGCGTTGACTAATCCTCCTGTGGATGGAAATCGTTAAAGAGATTTGGCACGGCATATTAATTTGAACATTTGGGACTTAAGATGCAAAAGTGAAAGAATTTGACTTTTTTTTAAAGTTCTTCAACGTAAAGCAGAAGCAAAAACATACCAATTGGGCCAAAGTATTGTTATAAGGATTTTATTATATGTATATCAAAATTTATATAATTGATTCCATAATATTATATGACATTTTACCATTTATCATTTCAAAATACAATCAATCTTTTTATCCAATATTTTCCTTTCAAATTATTTTGGGTAAACGTTTATGTATATTTTTTATATACAAGTATCAAAATCTACTGTAAGTCTCAAGATTTTACTATGAGCTTGTTTGACAATTATTAATTTATTTTATGGCTTGTTATATAACCATTTTTAACCATACATTCCGCTAAAAATTACTATTCAAAACTCTTTTTCTAATAATTTTAATATAGGCTCTAAATTCCAGTTGACAAGTCCATGTTTAAAATTATAAATGGAGTACTTACAAAAATACCCTTAAAATTAGGGATGTTTTGAAAAATCATATAAAAATTTTTAGGATGTAAACAATACTGTGTAAAATGAAAAAGTGACACAATGTCACTTTCTTTTTATAAAAAATGTCACTTTTTTTAAAAAGTGACACAACTCAAAAAAAAGTGACAAATATCAAAATAGCACCATTTATTTGTGCTCATGTTCTTAAAATAAATATTATGTTCAGGTCAATCCACATGCTGATTACGTAAAAAAAATGTCATTAAAAATGTGATCCACTGTCACTTTTAAAGTTCAGTGTCATTTTTTGTTTATTAAAAATGACATACAATGTCAATTTTATTAAAAATTGATGTTTGGCACAAAAAAAATGATAGAAATTATGAAAGTGATTGAAAAAGTGACAAAAATTTAAAAAAGTGACAAGCATTAACAAAGATTAAAAAAGTGGCAAACTTAAAAAAAAAAAGACAGAAATTCACAAAAATGACAAAACACCAATTAAAACATTAGAATGAGTTCAATGAAGCAACAAAAAAAGTGACACAATCAAAGCATGATCAAGTGGCATTTGTTGCATGATTATGATTCATTGGAATCAATTCAATAAAGTGACAAAAAAAGTGACATAATCAAAACATGAGCAGGTGGCGTTTGTGCATAATTGTGATTCCGTTCTTGTATTTTGGTAAAATACAAACATTTTGTTTACAGTACTCGAGACAGAGAGATAGATCATTTGTGCAGTATTATTTGGGTTCAAGTATTTCTATAGCACAATCCAAGATACACAATTATAATTGGTAGGGTAGCAAGTGTGATTAATCAAACGTTTCTCGTTGTAGAGGTGCTGAAAATTGCCATTCAAATGATTGTTCATATCTTCATCCATTCTGGTTATTGGTAAGCAAAATTTACGGCATAGAGTTCACTCAAGAGACTGCTCATAAACTACAATAAGTCTAGTCTAACTACCTGCTCATTTCTTACTGATTAAGGACCACTAAAATTAGAGATTTATGTAGTCACTGATAAGAACAAAATTCAGATTTTTAACGTTATTGATTACTTAATAAAAAGAAAGTATAAACTCACAACATGAAACATAATTGAATTGGCCCTGAGACAGTGTCTAAAACTTAAATGACAAAACAAGATCACATATTGGATATTAAACTAAAGCCTTACGTCCAAAAATTAAACGTTAGCAGGAACAGTAAGAGAAAGAGTGTTGTATTACATACAATTCATCAAATCCGATTTTAGATTGTTGGGGAAAATAAGTGATTTGTATCTAGATTATCAATTAAATAACAAGTTTAAGCAGAGATATAGAAAACAATAAAATGTTACTCCCATAAGAACAAGCACGAAAGGAAAGAAAAAACTTACAATTAATTCAATTGATCATGAATCAGAAAAGAGACATGCTACAGAGTTAAATAAAGTTGGTTTTTCGACACTGGGGACCGGGCCAACGATGCCGACTTTCAAGCTCATGTTTATCTTAGCTGCCGAAAATCACTTGTTCGTGAAAACCATCGAATGCAAAGAATTTGAAAGATTTGGTCATTGGAACCGGAGTGAAGGCATTAGTTGTAGTGATGAAATTGAAGGAATGAGTTAGAGCATACTATTCTTGCCATTAATGAAGAGAAATGAAGTTGAGAGTGTGCAGAATTTGATTATAATGTGGTGGGATGAAAGATATATTCGAGGGTTTGGGGGTTTTATAACGTATTTAATACGTTCTTAATTGATTTAATTAGTCATTAGGGTGTTAATCAATTTAGTCAGTTTTTTAGGGTATTGGGCTAATTTGCCCATTATAAATTACCTAGAATTTTCCTATTAACCCAAAATTCTCTACCCAAATGTACCCGCAACCTAAAAGCCCAAAGTCCAATAAGGGCAACCCACTCCTCATCCTCCAAAACCCTAGTTTTATGAGCTTCAGTTCACTCTCCTTCAATTTTTACGTCTCACAAGCCTCCAGCTTCCGTCAAAAATGCCGCCGAAGTTCGATCCCTCTCAAGTTGTCGACGTATTTGTCCGAGTTACCGGCGGAGAAGTCGGTGCTGCCAGTTCCCTTGCCCCCAAAATCGGACCGCTCGGCCTCTCCCCCAAAAAAATTGGAGAAGACATCGCCAAGGAAACCGCTAAGGACTGGAAGGGCCTCCGCGTGACCGTCAAGCTAACTGTCCAGAACCGCCAGGCCAAGGTCACCGTCGTCCCCTCCGCAGCAGCCCTTGTCATCAAAGCACTAAAGGAGCCTGAGCGTGATCGCAAGAAGACGAAAAACATCAAGCATAACGGAAATATCTCTCTCGATGACGTAATCGAGATTGCGAAAGTGATGAGTCCTCGCTCCATGGCGAAAGATTTGAGCGGTACCGTGAAGGAGATTTTAGGCACGTGCGTGTCGGTTGGGTGCACCGTGGACGGGAAGGATCCCAAGGACTTGCAGCAAGAGATCACTGATGGAGACGTTGAAATTCCACTAGACTAAAAAGGTTGAGTTTTGAATTCCATTTTTCACACAATTTTTGTCATTTACTTTATTTTGGTTGTTAGGTATTTTGTAGAAAAAACAATGTCTTGGAGGATAATTTTTTACCAAGGACGGAACATGAGGAAAAATATGCTAGCAATGTTGTTATTAATATTATATCAACATTATGCATTTTGAATGTGCCTATTTTTGCATAGATCCTTAACAGCTCAAGGTTTTGTGCAATTGCTTTTGTTTCATGAGAAACAGCTCCACCCTTCTCTGTCATATTTCTGTGGATTTTGATGCTGTGCTTTGTTAATTATGTTTGAGAAGATTATTTAGGTTTAAACTGTAAGCTTCTAATGCTTGTGGTAGATTTGGTTTTCTGAATTTGAAGGTTTTCACTCCATTTCGTCTGATATTTTGTATTGTATTGTAGATAAAAGAAGGGATAGGGTACAAAATATGTTCTTTCACATTTTCAATAAAAATTTGCAAGTTCTTGTCTAGTTATATAAATTATTTGTTATATCTAGTACTTTTTGACTAGTCGTTCTCAGATCTCAGGAGCATAATCCTAATCTATTTCTTCACTTTATTTAATTAAAAATGTCTAATGCTTGCTAAATTTATGTTTTATAGTTCTGTACTTCCGGTGGCTATGGATTAAAGTTATTTTGGACTAACCTGAGAAGGTATTTAGATCACATTATAAATGATCTTTGAGTTAATTTAACTAAATTATTGAAAAGTCTACTTCTGATTTGCAATGACTAGTGATTTTTGTTAAACCTTCATGTAAAAGATGTTTATAGAGGTATTTTGATAATTCAAAGACTTCGCATGGATTAAATATTCACTAAAGACGCTAGAATAGCAAATATATTGGAGCATGTTTCGGTGAACCTTATTGGCTAGAAGAATAATTGTGTGTGAAAGAATTGTATGGTGGAAGAATAACTGTATGGTGTTTTGTCAAAGATGTCGACTTTGTGTCTGAACATAGTTGTCTACTTTATTTAATCTATGTATAGTGTATCGTGTGATGTATGTGGAGTCTAGGCACTATAATTTTTTCACAACACCACACAATTATTCTTATAAGCTCATGATGTGTGGCCAACACTGTACACACTGTGAGTCTAATAGTTTTTTTGCTTCTAATAACCAATAAACTCCCATTAAAGCAAGTTTGGACATGCTTATTTGCTTATCGAAAGCAAATAAAGGGTTGTTTGGCATGACTTTTGAAAAGATAAAAGTGGCTTTAGAGACTAATGAGCTGCATTTGACTTTCTTAGGAAGCTCTTTTACAAAAAGCATAATGAAAAGTTATCCCAAGTATGGGTTAACATAGAGCATGTTTAGCAAGCAAGTAGTCAACTTATAAGATGTAGGTTCTACATTAAACTTTGTGGCTAATAATAAACAAAGGTGGGACCCATATCTTATAAGCAAAATAACTAATAGAATCATGCCTTATTTTGCATATAAATTTAAATCCCGCTCATTTAATGTCCACACCGTGGGATTCACGTCTTATAAGTTGACTCTTATTGGCCAAACATGCTAATAAATGTGGAAAACTCCAGCAAAATTTGTGGGGAAACCAGCTCATACTTATTGCTCATGAAGAAGCAAATAAGTTGAGTCCAAACATGCTTTTATTTTCAATGTGGCCCACACATTTGGTGCTTATTTTTTAGAATAAGCCACCTTAAACATGCTCATTTGAATTGATTGATATGGAATTTCCTATATAAGTTCTTACTTTCTCCATCTTTTGCTTGTCCCTTGTTCTATATTTTTCTTCCTCTTTCCTTTTGTCACCATGTATTGTATTGAATATTTCAATATCAGAGCATAGTTCAAAGCTACACAGTTCTCCCTTATTTGTGCAAATTTTTAATCTTTTTTCATTTTGACAAAGAAGAGGTAAAGTGTAGCTTCATTGCTAAAGGAGTAATCTAAGCTCCGGTACCAAGATGATGTGACACAATATATAGAAATATTAGAAGAGAAAAGAACTGGAGAGAAATAGATAAGAAGAGGGAAGAATTGGACAATTTGGTAGAGGAAAAATTTCAATGTCTTAATAATATCATTATTCAATAGTTTATGCATGTAAACAACTCTACTCCTGTTTATGCTTATTTCATCTTTGAATATTTAGTTTGCAATTTTCTCCACCTTTTTCTTTCGTCTCTCTATTCTGTTTCTACTCTTTCTTGTTCCTCTCTCCTTCTAGTTATATAGGTTGTCTTGAATCTTTTTTGTATTAAGAGTTGCTTCCTTTTTCTTCTCAACAGAGCTGCAATTCACTTTGCTTACTTCAACCTATACATATTTGGTCCTTTATTTATGCATTTGTAATTAAATCAAATGTTTTAGTTATATGGCAATTTTTTATTAGTAGCAATTATATGTTTATTAATATAGTTAATTGAGAAATTTGTTGATCGATAACCCTGAGGGGTTGCTCAATTGGTTAGGTCTTGGGTTTGCTCCCTAATGGTCACCAGTTCGAGTCCCCTCAGGGCCACAGAGGTGAGTACCTGGCCGTAAACTTCAGGGCTCCGTGGAATTAGTCGAGGTGCGCGCACGTTGGCCCGGACATCCACGGTTATAAAAAAAAAAGAAATTTGTTGATCGATTGATTACATTTTATATCGAAAAACGTGTAGCATTAATAAAGAAATGAATGTTAGTACCAAAAATAAGTAAATGGTCAAACATTAGAAACCCCTATTTATATCGGAATCAAGCTGCTTTGTTAGACCTGTAAAAGGCTTTTGCTCTATCGGGCATGGTAGAGCAGCATTATTCATTTATACCCACTCACTTCACTTATATTCGCATACAACTTATGTTGTACTTTATATCTTTCTTCCTCTCAATTTATCTTCCATATAAACATTTTCACATTACAAAGTTTAGCACGCATGGTGTCCAATGAATTTTGGAGTGAAAGTCTAACAAAATGATTTCCTCGATTTACTTTGATATTCTTCCATACATCTGTAAGTGTAGTATGGATTGTTCTTTCATTATTAAATTGCGGAAATTTACGTTATGAATATAATGATACGAAAATTTAAGTAATGATTATGATAATAGTCCTATATGTCTAAGTTCAAATGACCAGAGTTCAGTAGTGCTATACACGAGAATTATAACCACAAAGATTGGATTTTAATTCTCCGTCTCCATATGTATATTATGAATTTTCGTATTTAAAAATGAGATGAAATTTATTATTATTCATTTAGTAAGATTTATGTCTCATATGTATATGTTAAAATTTTTATAGGCAACAAAAAAGGTGACTTCAAGGCGATCGAAGGTGGATTGTGCTTGCGTGGATGAAAAATGAAGAATAAATTATGTAGTTAAGAAAATATTATCTTTTGATTATGAAAGTACTCTTTTACGCCACATATATAATGATTTCAAAGGTAAAATTTGGGTCGTTAAATAAAATATTAACTTAAGAGACGAATAAGAAATATTTTAGAATTTATTTAAATTGATTTTTTGTTTTCTTTCCTCTTTTACAAATTCTCACTTCATCTTCTTCAACTTATCTACTCTCTCTCTCTTTCTTCTCCCTCTTTCCTTTTGGTTCAAAGCCTCAAATCACCCTGTTCACATCATTGTTCCTTTTGACGAAAAATAGGATCATGATTTGTAGCTTCGTTGTTAGAGCAAACTAAGCTCTGATGCAAAACTCATGTAGCACAATATATATAAATTGTAGAAGAGAAGCATTAGAGATAAATAGAGAAGAAGAGGAAGAATTGGAGGCTTTGGGAGAGGGAAAATTCCATTTTGCGATAATCATTATCTAATAGTCTGTGTAGATCAGAAACTCTTATGTTTATGCTTATAGTACAATTTCTAATAAAGGATGGAAATTAGCCGGACTAAAAAAGGGAAATTACCTTATCGAACCCCAGTAACTATAAAAAGAAAATGTATAAAACCGATCAAAAGAAATTTTTTAGCAAAAAAGTGAATTCTTTGGTGCCGAAGTGTGGGTTCAGTAAGAATAAATTTATATGGTGTTGGACCAATGATGAAAGTGTTGACTTCTAGCCTTTCATCTCAGCGACCAATTGTTGTTTCAATGACCGATACGCCCGTTCTTTATGATCGCACAAGGAAATAAATTGGGTAGGGTGGGGAAATGCGATATGGGGTATAATGGTCATTTCGAACCCATAATCAAGGGTGAAAGTGGAAAGGCAAATTTAGCAATGCGTGGGATCCGACATTTCAATCTGGGGTGATCCTGCACGTCTTAGCCCTTGTTTGCCTCCCATTATATCACATTCCATTACATTAATTTTTTCTCTCTCTTCATCTCAACCATCCATTCATCAAATAAAATAATAATACACACAAATAAAAAACTTTTCAACCACACATCTCCCATCAATCACTATTCTAAAAATTATCTACCCCCCAAAAATTTAAATTAATGGGGGGCAAACAGGGGCTTAATCTGTGGTCCGTGTGGTTAGATGAATGCTGAAGTTCAGTTACCATTATCGACGAAGGCTTGATCCATAGATTTTGGCTTTCCCATCTAGTCACAGCATTTTCCTTGCTTGATGCATTTGCTATTTCCCTTCTTGTTTTGGATGATTCCATTTGTAGAATATTTTCCTCAAACAATTGGTCAGTCTTTCTGTTCATCTTAATATTTATGTCAAATCGATATGGGTATTATAGCATTGTATTTTCCAGCATTAGTAAATGAATACAACAAATTATAAATACAACCCTAAAATTCACCTTCGGACTCAACAGCATAGATTAAATGGTGTTTCTGTGAGTTTGTGGCACAATGATGTGGGCTCTGGCTTAAAGATTGGGCTGAATATGTTTAATTGTTGTGATGGGCCTTGGCTGTGCTATTGGGCTGGTCCATTGATTAAAACATGTTTCTGTTAATTGATTTTAGTTGGATGCGTTTTTTTACTTAAATGGATGGTGGAGATGTTACCAAGTGC